AGCACCACTTTAGCTAATGGGGCCTCCTGCTGCCGCTGCGCCGCCGGAGACCGATTTATGTTCTTATCCTGAAGCAAAGTTCTTAACCTGAAGCACTATTTCTGGGTTAGCGGAGTCTGTAACCTGAAGCATGTGTAACCTGAAGCGTATGTAACCCGAGGTACCACTGTATTGCCTGATCTTCCCAATGTCTATTGTGTATGATACAAAATATTTAGATTTTTTCACTGTGTTTTGAGATTTGCAACCCAATTCTGTTTTAAAATATTAATAAAGCTCGTTACTTCTATCTATATGGTACAGTGGTACCTTGGGTTACAAACACCTTGGGTTACAAACACTTCAGGTTACAGACTCCGCTAACCCAGAAGTAGTACCTCGGGTTAAGAACTTTACCTCAGGATGAGAACAGAAACTGGCTGCTGCCAGCCGCCAGCAGTGGGAGGCCCCATTAGCTAAAGTGGTACCTTAGGTTAAGAATGGTTTCAGGTTAAGAACGGACCTCTAGAACGAATTAAGTTCGTAACCAGAGGTACCACTGTAATGTGTTCCTTTTTGAACCTAAAAGATGGAGTTGTCCGCAGTAGCAGATCTGATGTGGAACTTCTGCGGGGGGTAAATGTGCATAAATGTCCCTAGGGGCATGTGTGATCTGTAGATTTTGCAATGTTCTACTTATGCAAGATCTCTTAGGCTCGCAGACCAGAGAGGTGAAACTTCTACTCCAGCTGTGGACTTATTTTCTCCTTGGGGCAGGGTGTGGGGTGTGAACAGTGCCGAATTTACGTATAAGCTAAACAAGCTATAGCTTAGGGCCCCACTCTCTTGCCCCCCACAAAATATACTTCTTCTTAATTGTATCTCACTATCAGTGGCGTAGCGTGGGGAGTGCAGGGGGGGCCGGCCGCACCGGGCGCAACATCTAGGGTTAGGGCAAATCCACAGGTTAGGGGGCGCAAATCCACGGGTTAGGGGGCGCAAATCCACGGGTTAGGGGGCACAAATTACTTGCCTTGCCCCGGGTGCTGACAACCCACGCTACGCCACTGCTCACTATGAATATACTTCTTCTTAATTGTATTTCAGTTCAACAATTACTTTGATAAAATACATATTTTGTTATGTGCAAATGGCTTTAGATGCCTCTTACAGTGGTACCTTGGTTTACAACCATAATCGGTTCCAGAGGTCTGGTTGTAAACTGAAACAGGTTGTAACCCAAGGCATGCTTTCACTAATTGGGCCTCAAAAAAGGGGGGAGGTTATAATAGAAAAAAATGGGTTGTAATGCAAAAAAAGGGACACACACTTCTGGGTTTGACGTGGTTGTAATCCAAAACGGTTGCAAACCAAGGTACCACTGTAGGTCCAAAAATTACAATATAGCATATATGCAACACAAAAAACAGTGACAATTTGTTGTTGACAAAGGACAGCTGGACATATAAAAGGCCCCATTACCTTCAGTAGGTTAGGGCCTCATGAAACCTAAATCCGACCCTGGGTGTGAAATAGCAGAGGCATCATATCTTCCTCTGCCTTTTCTGGGAATATATTTATCAGACACTGTATAGTCTTATATACCTACTACATCCAGGTAACAAGTGCATTTACCTGAATGGAATCAAACCAATGAAAATACATTTATCAGATGACACATACTCAAACCCATGTTGTCAATAGACTCAGAGTGACCAAAGTGGCTGGGGCAACCCAGTCAGATGGATGGGGTACAAATAATAACCATTATTAGGAGGAGGCAAGCATCAATTGGCTGTAAATGCCATTTCAGAAAGGGTGAAAAGACAATAAATTAAACAAATTATGGAATTATGAACAGGGTGTCAGGCACTGAAGGCGCCTGGGTGAGAGAGTTTCAGTTGGTCCTCCAGATGTCAACTCCAAGGCAAGAGAAGGGTGTGGTGACAGACTGGCCGCTGTGGAGATTGAGCTTTCTGGCAGTCCACTTTATGGAATGGGGGAGGGGCGTGGGCCACCACCCTCAACCCTGCTCCCTATTGAAGTCATGGCTCAGTTCTGTAATTACTGGGGTTTTTCATTATCTGTATTGTTGCTTTATACTATTATGCTGCACATTTTTTAAACAGTATACCACCTTGGGGACAGAAAGGAAATTCATAAATTATTGTATAACTAGTAAATGAACTGGCCCCTGGTCCCATCACCTCCTGGCAAATAGAAGGGGAAGAAATGGAGGCAGTGAGAGATTTTACTTTCTTGGGCTCCATGATCACTGCAGATGGTGACAGCAGCCACAAAATTAAAAGATGCCTGCTTCTTGGGAGAAAAGCAATGACAAACCTAGACAGCATCTTAAAAAGCAGAGACATCACCTTGCCAACAAAGGTCCGTAAAGTTAAAGCCATGGTTTTCCCAGTAGTGATGTATGGAAGTGAAAGCTGGACCATAAAGAAGGCTGATCGCCAAAGAATTGATGCTTTTGAATTATGGTGCTGGAGGAGACTCTTGAGAGTCCCATGGACTGCAAGAAGAACAAACCTATCCATTCTTAAGGAATTCAGCCCTGAGTGCTCACTGGAAGGACAGATCGTGAAGCTGAGGCTCCAGTACTTTGGCCACCTCATGAGAAGAGAAGACTCCCTGGAAAAGACCCTGATGTTGGGAAAGATGGAGGGCACAAGGAGAAGGGGATGACAAAGGATGAGATGGTTGGACAGTGTTCTCGAAGCTACCAGCATGAGTTTGACCAAACTGCGGGAGGCAGTGGAAGACAGGAGTGCCTGGCGTGCTCTGGTCCAGGGGGTCACGAAGAGTTGGACAAGACTAAACGACTAAGGAAAAAGTAAATGAACAACCATGGTTGAAATGGGTTATTATGCTACACATATATAACAGCAGCGCTGTCTCTGAGTTCAGAGCCGCTTAAAATTCTATGGGGCAACCCCGGCCAGAGTCTTAATAGCACAAGGATGGAAGAACGAAGAAACCCCGACAAAAGATCAGTGGCAAAGGAAATTGATGGACTATGCAGAGTTGGCGAAATTGACGTACAAACTGCGTGACAAGGACAACTGTGACTTTAAAGAAGAATGGGAACCTTTTACAAAGTACTTAAAAACAACAACAAATTGAACTGGACTCCTTGGCAGGTTTTGAATAAACATACACAAATTTATTGTTGCTAATATAATAGATGGATAACCGAAGGATCTTTACATTTTTGCAACATGCAGAGAATAATATGTATTAAAAAATCAGAGAGAGGAGCTGAGGGAAGTCGTAGGGGGGGAGGGAGGTGGGAAATGGGGGGAAATATAATGAAGATGATTTGTTGGAATAATTTGTTATGTGAAAACAGTTAAATTAAAAAAAAAATTGTGTGGGGCAACTCAGCCCACACTCTAGAATGTGTGCATGCATGCACACACATGCATGCATGCATGAGAGAGAGAGAATGTCTTATATATGGGACATACAATAAAGTTAATTCAGGAGGGATTCCACACACATGAGGAAGGAGACAGAACTTCCTACAGCCTGCCAGGTCCAGGACAGTCAGTGGGGAAAGAGTTGGGTGTCTTCTTTTCCCCCTTCCTTCCCAGTATAACTTTCTTGATCCCCACCTTCCTGTTGCTTTCAGCAGGAGGAAAGTACCCATGCCAGCTGCAAGCCAGAGGAGTAATGGTGATGGACCTTTCTGCCACCCCAATGAGGCACTTTCCACTAACAGGGGAGGGGGGGAATTCACAGGATCAAGCAGCCCCACAGCAGACAGGCTGGAAAGATACAACTGCTCCCTAAAGCATTATTTAGCAGAAACCTATTGCAGTGGTGGTGGCGCTGAGGGTTAAACCACAGAGCCTAGGACTTGCCGATCAGAAGGTCGGTGGTTCGAATCCCCGCAACGGGGTGAGCGCCCATTGCTCGGTCCCTGCTCCTGCCAACTTAGCAGTTTGAAAGCATGTCAAAGTGCAAGTAGATAAATAGGTACCACTCCGGCGGGAAGGTAAACAGCATTTCCGTGCGCTGCTCTGGTTCGCCAGAAGCGGCTTAGTCATGCTGGCCACATGACCTGGAAGCTGTACGCCAGCTCCCTCGGCCAATAAAGCAAGATGAGCGCCGCAACCCCAGAGTCAGTCACCACTGGACCTAATGGTCAGGGGTCCCCTTTACCTTTTTATTGCAGTGGTGGGGGAACATCTGGCCCTCCAGATGTTGTTGCAGCCCCAGCTTGCATGGCCGATTACATGCTGCAGAGGAAATTTGGAACACATAACTCTCGGGGTCTCGCAGGTGGCTCTAACGAGCGTTTTTTGGGGGCCGTGCTCTCATGAGCGCTAAAACAGGACATCCCAGGATCCAGTCAGAGGCTGGGATGGCTTCTGTAATTCTGAGATGTCCTGTTGAGGTGTATGTAATAATTAGGGGTGACAGGAGTTGGAGTCCATCATCACCTGGAGGTTCACTGCTTCCCCACCCCTGTCCCTGGCAATTATAAAAAATAACTGTCCTGCGTTTTTCTCAGGTGTCGTTTGTGGGGTGTCTTCTTACGCAGTGCAGTTCTGAGGCTCCATGGTAAAGGAGACGACATTTTCAAGACATAGTCAACATCAGGTATGCCTGGATCTGTTTGCTGAGGTATGCCAAAATCTGTTCCTGCTTCACTTCCAACTATTCTACGTATCTTAGAACTAGGCTATGATCAGTGTTCCATAACCTGGTGTCTCTCCATCTGCCTTTTAGGTAGGTTAGTATTAACATGCAGGCCACACAAATGTCTCCTCCACCCCTGGTCATGTAACCAGAATGAAGACTAGGCTGCTGATTTGCAGTAAAGAACACCTGAAGATGCCCACTCTTAAAATTCTTACATGATATAAGCAAGGCAGTGTGCTAAAATGAAAGGCCCAATATATGTGATGCACTGTTGATTGTGTGTATGGTTTTTTATAGGCTGGAAAAGGTGAAGGATGAAGCTAACCCTCCTGTATCTTTGCCTCATGGGCACAGCTTTTGCCATGTCGGTGAGCATTTCAGACCCAGCCAATTTGCTAGGCCTCCCCCCTTTTTAATTTTCCTCTGTGCGATCACTCAGCACCACTTTTTCTTTCTTTCTACCGTAGCTGCGCAAACCCCGTAAGGCGGGATTTGGAAGCAAGAGTGAAGAAGTAAGTAAATTTCCTTCCGTTTTTCTCATTCAACCACACTTATCCAGGTCTGTATTTCCAGGGGCTACTCTGTCCCCCAATAACCCAAGCCCCTCGCAGGTGGTTTAGTCTGTTTCAGCTAGTAAACACTGCTTCATCGTAATGGAGCACCCTGGCTCAGAGATGGCCAAAGCCAGAGGTGAATATAGGGGAAGGACCATAGTGGCAGAGAAAGTCTGAGATTCAATCATTGGCATATCCAGGGCTGAATCTACACAGATATTAGAAAATACGCTGCTTTTTAAAGAAACGTAAAATATATATGGAATTTGCCATTAGCTCACCAGCGCCACCTAAGGTTACATTTGTATAATGCACTTAAAACATTATAGCTGAGTCCTAAGTATGGCTAGGAAAAGCCCCTGCCTGAAATTCTGGAGAGTCCAACTCACCTCTGTTCCGAAGCATTGTACAGTGGTACCTCGGGTTAAGTACTTAATTGGTTCCGGAGGTCCGTACTTAACCTGAAACTGTTCTTAACCTGAAGCACTACTTTAGCTAATGGGGCCTCCCACTGCCACTGCACCGCCAGAGCACGATTTCTGTTCTCATCCTGAAGCAAAGTTCTTAACCTGAAGCACTATTTATGGGTTAGCGGAGTCTGTAACCTGAAGCGTATGTAACCCGAGGTACCACTGTATATACACCCCATCCCCAAAGAGAAGCAACAGTCTCACACACTCTCTTATGCAAACATTTTCCCCTGATGAACTCAACATCTGGCAGCATAGAGTGGCCAGGTGAAAAACAGAAAAGGACAGGACTCTTGCACCTTTATTTGTTGTGTAGAAGACTGAAACCCAGCAGGTGTAGCTTGTCAGGTGGTGGTGGTGGGGTTTTCAGCCCTGCCTTCCTTTACCCCTGTCCACCCTAGGGAGAATTCCTCCATGCCTGGGTTCAAATTTGCCCATTTCAAGTTTGTTTGTGTACAGCTGTAGTTCTCAGCTTATTGTCTAGGGCCCAGGGGTCAGCAAATTTTTTCAGCAGGGGGCCAGTCCACTGTCCCTCAGACTTTGTGGGGGCCGAACTATTTGGGGGGGGGGTTTGAACGAATTCCTATGCCCCACAAATAACCCAGAGATGCATTTTAAATAAAACACATTCTACTCATGTAAAAACATGCTGATTCCTGGACCATCCACGGGCCGGATTTTGAAGGCGCTTGTGCCGGATCCTGCCCCCGGGCCTTAGTTTGCCTACCCATGGTCTAGGCAGCTCTGAAAACAAGTGAGGTTCGGCAGGCTTAGAAAATAATTTATCACTTCAAGCATTTTGAAATGACTGACAGGATGTGGGCCAGGGATAATTTACCCTCTCTCAATGCTAGTGAAGCCAATGGGACTAGAATCAAGTTGATTCAATTGAAAACCGGTTCTGTTTAAATACTGTTGTTCACGGAGAGCCAGATTCAAATGAAACACATTCTGACAGGTATATTTCTTCACAGATGATGCAGTTTGGTCCATTTGGCTACATGAATTCCCCACAAGTAAGTTCACTCTTTTCTTGGTTCTTGAAACATACACTTTCTATACATCAGAGGATAGCTCAGTCAGTAGACCATGAGGCTCTTAATCTTAAAGCCGTGGGTTCAATCCCCACATTGGACAAAAGATTCCTGCATTGCAGAGAGTTGGAATAGATGATCACTTTCAACTCTATTATTCTATGATTTTATTACATGTTTTTATTATTATTTCTTTATAATTTGTACCGCACCCATCTGACTGGATTGTCCCAGCCACTCTGGGCAGCTTCCAACACATACCGTATTTTTCGCTCTATAAGATGCACCAGACCACAAGACGCACCTAATATTTGGAAGAGGAAAACAAGAAAAAAAAATATTCTGAATCTCAGAAGCCAGAACAGCAAGAGGGATCGCTACGCAGTGAAAGCAGCAATCCCTCTTACTGTTCTGGCTTCTGTGATAGCTGCGCAGTCTGCATTCGCTCCATAAGACGCACACACATTTCCCCTTACTTTTTAGGAGGGAAAAAGTGAGTCTTATAGAGCAAAAAATACGGTATTTAAAAACATGTATATCCTGCCTTGCCACTAAGGATCTCAATGCGGCGTATATGGCTCACCTTCAATTTATCCTCATGACAACCCTGTGAGGTAGGGTTGAGGGAGACCCAAGGCCATCCAGCGAACTTCATGGCAGAGAAGGTATCTGAACCTGGGTTTCACTAGTCTTAGATCAACACTCCAGTCAGAAATGCTTTCTCACCATGTGCTGCTTTTATTTCTCTTTTAATCACATTTCAGCTGGCTCATTTGGCAGCTTCTTTATATGGCTACCGCTCGGGTTTCCCGCAGATGTTCCCCCAGCAGCCTATGTTGCCCCAGCAGAGATTTCTCCTCTGGCCACAGCAGACACCAGTGCATCAAGTCGCCAGGCTGCCTCCACGCAAACCTCACCAAACTCCAGTGGCCAGGCAGCCAAACATCAGGCCGCAGCCAAGGCCACAGTTAAAACCACAACTTCCGAGGCGTCCGCAGCCACAACCACGATTACAGCCGCCACCAAAGCAGCCTCAAAATACCTACCCTTCTCAGACTCATCAACAAGTGCTGGTTCATCAACCCCAAAGGGGGAAGCAGCAACAGCCTCAGGTAAACAAGCAAGTTTGATCTGGGGGGAATTGCTCCAGTGTCCCTAGCATCTCACCGTCTACCAGCGCAAGGGATCAGCAGGGATGGCCCTATCATTAGCCAGAATGAGGGATCTGCTTCAGGCAGCAGATGTTGTAGGGCAGCAGTGGAAGCCATACAACACACACACACACACACACACACACACCCCGCTTCCCTCTGTTGGAGGACAGAGCTGTGAGTTCCACGCAACCTTTCCTGAAGCTCCTAATATAATTTGTTTTGCTCAGGTGGGTGGCGGATCACCATTGAAGTAAGAGCCAGCTGCCAGTTCAGTCAGCTTCTGTACATGGACCAGGGCTGAGAGGAGGTGCCATATTGACCTTTGCCTCAGGCAACAATATGTCTTGGGTCAATCCTTGCCTTCAACCCTTACTCCCATCACTGCAATTTGCAGGTCAGGGAAAGAAGCTGCAAATTTTCTACTTATCACAAAATGTTAGGGTGACCCCTTGGCCTACTTTACGGCGGGGGGGGGGGCGTCCTATATTTGAAGGCATTTTCTGTTTGAAGGACTGATCTGCCTGTATATGGGTTAAAAATAAAGAACCCCAAGATGGGAGAGCTGTGGCCTTGAAATTAGTATTTGGATGGCAGACTGAGCTGGCACCAATGTCACTTGGTCACAGTCTTCCCGCTATGGGAAGATTCACTTTCTTCTATGCAAATTACAAAAATTATGTCTAAATTGGGCCCTCTTTTGCCCATGCGTAAGTGGCCACCCTAAAGACACAGGAAAAGGACACAGGTGGCGACCCTAGTTTTCATTTTTAGGCTACGATTATACACATCAGAAAGGAGGGGCATGAGGGGAAGAAAAATGAGAGCATGTGACGTATTGCACATGTGCCAGCACTGAACTGTACACACCATACATTTCAAGCACATTTCCCCCCAAAAAACATCCCAGGAAATGTAGTTTGTTAAGGGCGCAGTGTGGGGGTAAACTACAGTTCTCATGTTTCTTTCCGGAAGGGCGCATGTCTTAAATGTATGCTGTGAACACAACCTTAGTTTTGGACATTTTCCACGTTAAAGGGGGGGGGATGTGTTATGTGGTGTCAGGCAAACCAACAGAACAGAAGCTACTCTCAGTGGTCATTTTAGGCAAAACAATGACAGCTGGAAATGTAGGTGGAATCACACTATTCTTTTTTATTGTAATCATTACATAGTGACTTTTTTTTGCAGGGAGTGTTAGATTTTGTCATAATGACACCTTCTCTTTCCCTCTCCAGGCATTCCCACCACAGCAACAATATCCTTGGCACTTCCCTCAGGTGAACGGATGTTCCTTGTTTAACACACGCAGAGAAATTTTAAGGGCTACAGTTGTGGGGTATTTTTTTGTTTTTGATTAAAAAGGACTTCTGATTAATTGGCCAGCAGATCTCTCCTTAAAATAAAAATGCTTCTAAGTTAAATTCTTCTAAATTCACAGGTGGAAGATGCTTTCTCAGGGCAGCCAAAGCTTCCTCCTCTCAAACATGGGAGGAAGTGCTTAGAAGCTCATTTTGGCATTAAGCGGTATATTGATGGATTCATTAATATCATTAACTGCCAATAATCATACTTTTGTAAATGATCCCCATTGTGACATGTATGTACCTTATCTGAAAGAATGCCTACCCCCTCTGCACCGTCATTGAGTCAATACTGTATGCAGATTGAACTGATCACTGAAAACTCACATGGCTAATCTACTAAGATTTCTTCAATAGATTTGTTGCCAGCACCACAACAACATTGGTCCAATGCATGCTTCCTCACAGATCTTTGTGATTTTTGTTTACATAGGAAGACAAGCGAACCACCCATAAATCAGAAACCACGCCTGTGTTTGGGTGATTTTGAGGAGATTCCTTGTAAAAATTATGCAGTTCCATTATGGTCCATGTTTTTGTACCATGAAAACACTGGGAAACACCAGATCTGTGGTTTTTATGGTAGAGTCAACAGGTGCCAAAATGATCTGTCATGTGATTAGGGGTGGAAGGAAGAATCCACGAAAAACTTAAGCAGAATCAGGGGGCTGCATTTTTTATTTTTTATTTAATAATAATATTTTATTAGGGTTTCCAAAAAGTTAACAACCAACAGAAATCAACAAAAATCACGAAAACAGACAACAAACATCAAAAATCCAAACAAAAAAGCAGAAAAAAGAAAATTACAAAAGAAGAAATTTAACATAAAAAGAACACTCTTTCATATTGATAACTTTCAAAACCTTATTCTCTTTACTTCCACCCGCCTTCCCTTCTTGTATTCTATTTTAAAAATTAGTTCAGCAAGATAATTGATTATTCATTTTAAACCTTTATCCCTCCCTTTATAGTCTATTTATCTTAATCGCTAGAAACCCCTTCATTTCATTTTCAGAGCCCTCAGCATTCATAAATTTTACAGTATTTTTGTAGATAGACTTTAAACTTCTTCCAGTCCTCTTCCACCTGCTCCTCTCCTTGATCTCGGATTCTGCCAGTCATTTCTGCCAGTTCCATATAGTCTATTACTTGCATCTGCCATTCTTCCAAGGTGGGTAGATCTTGCGTCTTCCAATGCTTTGCAATAAGTATTCTTGCTGCTGCTGTTGCATACATGAAAAAGGTTCTGTCCTTCTTTGGCACCAATTGGCCGACTATGCCCAGGAGAAAGGCCTCTGGTTTCTTCAGAAAAGTATACTTAAATACCTTTTTCAGTTCATTACAGATCATTTTCCAGAACGCCTTAATCCTTGGGCACGTCCACCAAAGGTGAAAGAATGTTCCTTCAGCAGGGGGCTGCATTTTTTTTGATCATTGTGTCTCCTAGATCTCTCCCCATTCTCTCTTATCTTCTTGGTCACTCTGATGCTGTTCAGACGCTCTGATCTCTGAAAAGCACTTAGAGCTAGAAGCGGAAGTGGGAATTGGTGCTGACCTGCTAGGAGCCTGAAGGGCCCTGCCCTACTACTCTCCACCTGGCTTGGGGTAGGGCCTGACAGACTCCAGAAAGGAGTGCTGCTGCTGCTGCTGCTGCTCAGCAGAGAGGGCCCCGCTTTTTTTTTTTTAATGCTTTTATTTTTTTATCTATGTCATTTTAAATTGTGATTGATATTAATGCGCCAGAAGCGGTTTAGTCGTGCTGGCCACATGACCCGGAAAGCTGTCTGTGGACAAATGCCGGCTCCCTCGGCCTGAAAGCGAGATGAGCACCGCAACCCCACACTCTCCTTTGAGTGGACTTAACCCTCCAGGGGTCCCTTTACCTTTTTAACCTTTTTACCTAGATTTTATGATTTATGTGGAAATTGTTTTCCATTTGGTTGTGTACTTTTTGATGTGTTTTATTTATAGTGTATGACTTTTGTTATGTTGGTAATTACGTAAATCTTGTCATGTTGTAAGCCGCCTTGAGCACTGTTTTAACTATGGAAAGGCAGCTTACAAATAAAAGAATGGATGATGGATGGAATTGCTGCCCCTTCCTCATTAAACTACAATTATGCTAACGTGGCTGTTTTTCTTCTGCATTGTAGATGTTTGATCATGGAGGCTTCCAACAGCAACCATTTGGTCCATATCAGGGAGTAAGATATTCCATTTAAAGGCTTCGGGGATAGCGGGGACAATTTTGGGGACCACTTAGCTCTATCCCATAGCTAAAGTGGCTTGTTTAATCAGGAATGATTGATTGACAATGCCTTTGTCTGAATTAGTATCTCCATGGGCTGCTAGGGATTGTGTTTTATTCTTAAGATTATGGTTGTTTTAATTGTGTTGTTGTGGTTCTGAAAAAGTTATAAAAATAAATAGACAAGCCCTGTGAAACTAATATAGATCCATACAGTGAATCCAAAATGCTGTTGATTCTTCCATTAGAAATATAAAGAAATGAATTCAGTAGAACAAAGGGGGAAGAAGTTAAGCACTTTTTGTAGTGTGGTGGGTGGGTTTGAATCTGTCCCTCATTATTCATCAGATAGCTCATGTCTGAGAAGCGAGGGAGAACCTTGCGAATTTCAACACATCATGTGTGCTTAGACACTGGTCTTTATGTTTTAGAATAGCTAAGCAATCTAATTTCTATGCCCTCCCCGCAAAGTCTATCCAAACTTACTCGGTTTTCTTTTTCTCCAGCGTATGCCATTTGGACAGCCACCTGCCAGCAATGAAGAAGGGGTAAATACAATTTGATATAATTGGGATGGTGTGAGCTAAACTATATACGAAGCTGCAGGAAGGAGGACTTCAGAGGCATCCTTCTACATTCTCCTGCTATAATGTTCACTTGGGAGCCCTCCCTCCCCTTGACCTTCAGGAAGGTCAAGATGCACAGATCACATGGCTTTAATGTTTCCTGATTCTAGTGCTCAGGACTGCTGAGTGATGAATGCAGCTCTGAGGTCAAGGCCTTCAACCCACAGTTAAAATAACTTTTATAATTCTATTAACAATAACATTTCATTCACAATTGCTAGTAATTTTATTGTATTGGGTGGTATCAAACTATTTTACTCTCTTAATTATATTTGCAGGCCCCCTATTATGGATATGGCTACCTTGGGATGGGAGGCAGACCTCCGTATTCTGAAGAAATGCTTGAGCAAGACTTTGAAGAGGCAAAAGAAAAAGAAACCCCAACAGCTGATCCCGCAACCAACTCGACAGTCTTGGAAACAAATTCAACCATCTCTAATCAACCAAGCCAGGCAGCGAATGGCACTTCTTCTGGGCTCAGTACAGCAGGCAATGGGGCTAATTCGCCAGGCCTTGAGAGGAACTTGCTCAGTGGAAACGGGATCCCAACACCGTCACCCACGGCTCGTGTGTCGGCAAGGAATGGAGCAACATGGAATGGCATTGATCCCTCAAGTCAAAGGCCTCCATCTCCAGATGTCAATGCCATTCAAAGCTTTCCTTCAGGGGGCCAACAACCCCCAGGGTATGGTGCACATGTCTATAAGCCCCAACCAGATATGGGAGATACAAGGCACAATGCTTTGATTTCTAGAGGAAACCCCTCTACCCAAACTGAAAACCCAAAAAATTCCTTGGCTTATGGAGAGTACTCTAACCACAGAGGCAATCTCCAGAATACAAACAGCAACCCTCCCTCAGTAAACAATAGACCTAACTTATATGAGCAACAAGGGCAACCCCATTATCTTGAGAGGAACCCATCAGGTCAAAGAGAAAGAGTGCCTTTTCCTAGTTCTGATCCACAAGCCCAGTGGAATAAAGTTCCAGTCTACAGGGATAATGGTCTAAATCCTTCCCCATCTGAAGGCCGTTCCCTGGATTCACAGTTTAATACAGCAGGACGAGTTGAGGATGTCTATAATGAAAGAGAATACACTGAACGGCATCAGCCTTCTGGAATGCACCGAACAAGCGCATTTTCCCATCAGGAAGCATTCTCAGCCACAAGCAGAACTCCATTTGAAGCAGAATCCCGGCGGTATGAGTGGAAGGAGAAGCCCTTTATTCATCCAGATCGTGAAAGAGAACAATTTCAATCTTCACAAAACCGGAGGTGGAACAACCAAGAAGATCCACAGGTCTTCCGAGATGCTCCTCCCAGGTATAACTCGGTGTATTCATCTGGTTCTTTTCAACGAACAGGACATGCCACTTACTCTGAAAGGGATCTCAATGGCCAACAATCCCATTCCTTTTATCCCAGAGGATGGGAGGATAGAGAACATTCACCCACAATGAGCCCAGCAAACCAAAGAGAAAGTCCACCATATTCTCCAGATTTGCCTTCAAATCAGATGCAAAGAAACACCTATCACAGAAACGTTCTGCAGGAGCGTGAACCCTATCCCAGGCAAAACCCATGGACTCAAGAAAAACAGGTGCTTGATCTCGACAGAGAGTACAGAAACCCTTCATACAATCCAACTCAACACCATGCATATCCAAAATATTCTATGGAGAATCCAGCCAACCAAAGAAGTAATTTGCCATATGAGGAAATTAACCGGTGGACTCCAGAAGAACATTCTCCAGTTCGTGGTGCAGAAAGATTGAGACAAACAGAAAACACCCCATATCGCGTGAACAATGCATTCGGACCCAGAGAAAGGAATCTGGAGAACCAAGCACCACATTCTCCATTACAAAGCGGCACTCTCCTCCAAAGCAGACCACAGTATCCCGAAAGAGATGTTTGGGTCCACCAAATGGTGGGCCCATCTGCTCCGAAAGAAACTTCGCCCTACTTTAATACCTACCCCACAGACTTCAGGAAAAGCCCAGCGCATGCTGAAGACACAGAGGGAGCCATGCATGGGAGAGCACCAATCTCCAGTATTGATATTGCAGAAAGAAGACATCATTCTGACACACTGAGATACCCAGGTGATTACCCAAGAGAACCCAGAACTGTTACCTTACACACAACTGACAGCCACCTGTGCTGTGCAGGTGACCCCCCAGTGCCAAGAGAGAACTTACTGGCACCACTGCAAAGCGCTCCTCGTTTCCAGTTTGCTTCATGGGAGCAAAAAGGAAGCTCGACATATCCAGAGAGCAACCATGCAAAGCATGCCAGGCATGCCCCTTACCCAGCTGGCATTCAGTCTAATCACAGGGATATTTCTCTAAAAACTGGGAAAACAAAATCACAGAGAGAAAACTTGGATGCATATGGAGAGGAAACAGCAGGCCTACAGAATGGTCCACCGTGCTCCAAATCGCACCTAAGAAAACAGAATGAACCTGAAGCCAACTATGAAACTGGTCTACCTGCACCTAGGAACACACCTTGTTATGGAAGCAGCATCCGAGGTGACGGACACAATGTCCTTGCTTGGATCGTGGGGGAAAATCAGTCTGAAAGGGCAGCTTCTATGAAGTTTGTTCCTGAAAATGTACCACCACCACCTCAAGGGATCAGAAGTGCAGCTCATGATGGTGAAGATGTTAGGAAAGGAGAAGGCGCAGCACTTGGGTTCAAGAGGACTCCATGCTTTGGAAGCTGGTTAAAGCAGTATTTATCCAGCACGGGAGCTCCATCTGGTGATCAGCAGCACGATCAGTTTTATCCAGATAACCCATTGCCCACTAGGAAGCCAAACATCATGGTGCCACCTGTACCACAGCCAATCTCTAGTACTGATCCATCTCATGATATAGAAGAAGCACCATTGAAATTCAGATCCCCAGGAGAAGAATTGGCTGAGCAAGCAAAGGAAAGGACACCAGACTGTTTACTGTTCCCAAACAAATGAAATGCTAAAGAAACTCCTTTTTTTCAAGTTTGGAAAACAGCATCTCTAAAAAACGACAACGGCATGCTCATTCAGAGCACAGATGCAGGAAAATGAAACGTACTTAATTGCATAATTACAAAGAGGGGGAAATAACAGCTGAATTGTGTAGATAGTTTGTGCATGTGCATAATGTAGGTCATTTGGTATTTGGTTTTTCAAACCTCGGCTGGCATTTCACCCTTCAACATTCTAACCTTCAACCTTTCTTCTGGTTTTCCGTAGGACTCAACCAAAATGGGCTCCCGAAACTCTCTAAAACCTAAGGTTAGCAGATTCCCCCCCCCCAATAAATCAAGGGACACTTTTCAACTTCCCCATTCCAGGGATGGATTTTGTCAGGGGACTGATTTGTAAATCAAAGGACTGTCCCCGGGAAACGGGGATGTCTGGTAACCTTACTATAACCTGTTTGCAGAGGATGGTGAAATTCTTATTAATATATTTCGATTTATTATCTGCCTTCACCATCAGGTCCCAGGGTGGGTTACAATAATTTAAAATTCAATATTAAAAACAAATTAAAACAAATTACGGCCATAGGGATAGGTGAGGGTGGGAAAGTTATTTCCCTAAATATTCTCTTGGAAGCATGCATAATTCAAATGGAGAGAGAGAGAGAGAGAGAGAGAGAGAGAGAGAGAGAGAAAGAAAGAGAGAGATGGACTATGTAGTTCTGGCAAGCTTCTCCCCTTCAGACCTTCCCTCAACATGTTAGTAGTGTGGGACTGGTCTGAGATGTCACAATATGCCCATGTTGAGTGTGTGCAATCCTGCTGGCTCTCTGAATAGGGCCTTATGTATATGCACTAAGCCTTTTCCTTCCCTGCTGGTTTCACTTTGCACAATGCTTTTCAAAACGGCAACACCATCAACATTATGGAAACATCGGCACGGCTTTTCCTTACTGGGGCACAAATTACTTGTTTGAAACAAATGTAATCTTCCCCTTCTTTTCTGAACATTTACTTGACATTAAAGTGCATTTATTATGGACACTTTTCCTCCCTTCATGTCTGTGTGGCGCATTTTCCTGGTTCCATTTTGCTCCGTCTCTCATCGCAGAAGATGCCAATTAAACTGTCACAAGTTTAAAGAAGTTCAGAATTCAAAACTGGCAGGGTTTAATGGTGCTCTTAAAATAGCATAATTAACCGGCTTCCAAGGAAAACAGCAGTCTCCATCGCTTCACCGGTGATATGATGTAATATAGTCCCGGAGACAGCAAAGTGGTTTAGTACTACCTTAAAGCCAATTAAATGTAAGAGGTGCTGATTTAATCCAACAATAGAAGTACCAGGATGTCAGGTTACATGGGGATAATGGTCCTCTCTGTCCTTCAGAAAGCAATTAAAATGTTATTTAAGCACACGGGACACTAAATGCACAGGAACACAGGAAACTGCCTAATACATAGTCAGGGAGCTGGCCCATCTACCTTGCTATGGTCTGCTACAGTGACTGGTAGCATCTCTCCAGAGTCCTGGGCAGGTGTATTTCTCAGCAGATGTTGGGGACTGAACCTGGGATATTGGACACACCAAGTGTATGCTTTGCCCCCGAGCTATGTGTACACAAACAGGATGGGCTGCAGTCTTGCACATGGTAACAACAATCCACACACTGAGCTGATTTCAATGGACTTAGTTAAACCTAAAGGTGGACAGGTCTAGCCTATTCTGCCTTGGATGTCTTGCATTAAGGCATTGTCCTTTTGATACATGTGGTCATGAACACACCTGCCCCAAGTAGAGAAACACAGCATGTGTTAGTAAGCATTCAGACAGCTGGGAGCAGCCCTCCCCCCCCCCCCCGACACAGAATGGAATGTTGATAAGGAGTTAGCAGAGAGTGGGAGGGTGAGAGGTCAGCTCGCTCAAGAAGCACAAGCAGACTTGCAAAGCAGGAGGAACAGCATTTCTTCACCGGAAGCGGAGGCAATTCATCATCTGAGCCCAAAGAGTCGACATATTGGAAAGGTATTAGACAGGAAGCAAATCCAGAAATGTAAGGGTCATAGGTTCAGGATATTCTGCAGAACCAGGAGGCATTCTTCAGAAGGGTCAACTGATTCATAAGCCGTGGATGTTTGCTTAGACGTCCGAGGCTAATTGTTTGCATTGCAATAAATCTTCTAGCTAATTACGACTTGTGCGCTGTGTTATCAAGATGGCAGCCTGGGCTCCTGACACATGTCCCCAAATGGATGTTTGGACTAAAGGTGGGTTTTGTGTCTGAAAACTGGGTGGCTGCTGCCTGCTTCTATGCGTGTCTCAATGGGTTTAATGAGACTTATGCCCAGGGGTGCCAACTTGAATCAAATATGGTGGGGGGGAGGTAAGCCCTGCCCTGCATAATTGATCATATGGGGTGATGCACTGATACCATTTGAATGACAACATGCATCAACTTTCTGCAATCCTTTGTGTGGCAGGGGGCCATTTGTAGTACTTGGACACACACACTCCAGGGTAATGAAGATGTTGGTTGATGAAGTGAAAAAGACCCACCCTGACTTCAAACAACTATCCTCTCCTAGCAAATATATATATATATATATATATATATATATATATATATATATATATATATATATATATATTAAAAGCTCAAGTGGAACACTTCGTTACAGATGTCTACATTGCCACTTTCTCGCAGGGCTGCTTGAAGTATAGGAAGAGGAGCTCCTTGACATGTTCTGTGCCAGCTCAGTAATATTTTCAGGATCTGCACATTAAAACAAGAGGGGAGCAAAATATTACCCTGAACCTTTCTCAACAGCTATAGAAAAGCAGTAAAATCTTATGACAGTGATATGGTTGGTTTTACCATATAACTACCATATACCATCTCATATATCAGTACTGTATCTGTTCATTTCACTTCATTAGTCTGAAGCCTGCTGGTTTGTGAGAAAGTGAGGGGCACTTCCTGTAAGCTACAAACTGATGGGCTTGTGAGGGAGCCTTGCTGCTCAGTGGCACTTTCTTTGTATGCAGAAGCCCCTAATTTTAATCCTTGGCATCTCCCAGCAGAGTTGAGAATATCTCCTGTTGGAAACCCTGGAGAAACTCCACCAGCTAGTATAGATTGGGTTCAGACCCTTTGGCCTGCCAGATGTTGCTGGACTACAAACTCCCATCAGCCCTAGTAGCAGTCCTAGTATCTGGTAGTCCATGCCCAATGGCAAGGGATGATGGGAGTTGCAGTTCAACTATGCAAAGGCAAGCCTTTCTGCTCTTCTAGGGAAGATGACTCAGGAAAGGACTTCAACCTTGTGGTTGGGGACTCTGACAACTAAGCATGCAGCATGAGCCCCTCCTCATGAGTTAGCTCCCCGGACATCCAAGCTCCCTCGTGTAATCCCGCACTGGAAATACCAAGAGGCACACAAGGAGGATGCTGAATGTCAGAGATGCACACATTTCCAAGCTAGCACACGGCCCCTTTGAGTCCACTCCACTCTCTGTTAAGGGGCGTACAGCTTCAGAAGTCATCAACTCCTCCATCAGGACAGGAGGTAGAGATGTGGATCCCATGGTCCTCCAGGTGTTACTGCTCTCCAACTCTTGTTGTCCCTGACAATGCTGGTCTGGGCTGACAGGGTCTAAGAATATCTGGAGGGCCACAGGTTCTCCATCTCTTCTAGAAGACCTTATCTGAATGCCACACTCTCTTGAAACAACATGGGCTGTATTGGACACCTTGCTGCCAGCTATGCCCTTCTGGATTATGCTTAGTGCCCAAGTATCCTGCCACTGGAACAGGCAACTTCCAATACATGGCTTTCTCCACCGACCTAACAGGTATGCCACTCTTTGTCTTTCAATATGCCTGTTGCATTTTTATTATAATTACTGCATGTTCCCCAACTCCTGATTCAATTTGGTTTTTGACACTTGCAAAAGATTCCACACCCATCCACACCATACACCAAATCTGACTTACTTGGTCCTTTGTTTTCCCATGCTCATTCCCCAAATGGAAGTTGTGCTTCTCTGTAACGCCAAGCTTACTAGCAAGAAGCCTCCAGTTTCTTTTTCTTGTGGCTATCTCTGTGGCCACCTTAACAAGTTGCAGGTCACTCAGTACTTCTTTATCCTGAATATCTGCAGTGAACTGCAAAAACAAAGTGGATTATTAGAGAACTGCATTCCATGGGTGAGCCACATGGGCTTCGATGGACTCAGCTTCTGGTTAGAACTTTATTCTGATTGGTTAACAACATAAAGTTATATTTTAAATGACCTTGCTAAGTGGAAACCCATTAAACTAAACAGTAGCCATATTATAAAAACTTCTGAGGATTTATCAGGTTTGCATCTAACAGCCTTGTATATTTCTCTTTTGCTCCCTTCACACTCTCTGAAAAGACAGAGCATGTAGAATGATGTACAGTGGTACTTCCGGTTACAAACTTAATTCGTTCTGGAGGTCTGTTCTTAACCTGAAACCGTTCTTAACCTGAGGTACCACTTAAGGTAATGGGGCCTCCTGCTGCTGCTGCCGTGCCACCGGCGCGCGATTTCTGTTCTCATCCTGAGGTAAAGTTCTTAACCTGAGGCCGTCTTAACCACTGGCACCAGGAGTGCGGAGCACTCGGTGCCGGGCTCTCAGGGGTGCCAGGCCGAGAGTCTGGGGCCCGAGAGTTGGAGTCTGGGGAAGAGCCTGCCCGTCGGAGCACCGCAGCAGGCTCTTCTGCTGCTGGAGGCTCTGCACTATGAGTTCGGGGGCAAGTGAGCCAGCGAAGCACTGAGGCGGCTCCAGCCTCCTGCATGACTGGGATTGGCATAGGGCCATGGAGAGGCCCGCCCAGCGCATGCTGCTCACACCACGAGGCGCACGGCTTTGCTCAGCCGTCAATACTGACGCTTCGGGCTGGTTTGTTGCGCTGGGCTGGGGGGGGGGATAGGAGGATCTTTGCACCCCAGCGCCGCATGTGCTTAGGACAGCCCTACCTGGGGTACTACTTCTGGGTTAGCGGAGTCTGTAACCCAAAGTGTTTGTAACCCAAAGTGTTTGTATCCTGAGGTACCACTGTAATAGGGTTGTGCTTGTGGTCCCGCCCAAACCATGTGCAGCTCCTCCCATTCATATCATTCATGAAATTGCATGGGTGCCTCTGCATGTAGTTACTGGCTTCCTCAGCTCTGGAAGCTCACACAGTAGATGATGGGGACAAAGGGAGAAACAGGTGTGTGTCTGGGCAGGTCCAGATGTGTGGGCTCACTGCAGCTTTCTAAGCACTTTGTCCCTTCATGCAAGTAACTGTTGGCTGCTTTCGGCAAAACGGTTGGCAACATCTCGCTTTGGATCACAAGACAAGATGGTATCCAAAATGCTATTTCAGAATGTTCCGCTGAGTTCTCTTTAGAAGCTATGATTCCATAGGAACAGGTCAAGAGTCTACATGGACATAGTACTGGGATTTCCACAAGATTTGAGACATGTTCCATATGCTCTCCATGCAAACAGCCCTACCTGCCATTTCTAGACTACTGCATCTCAAACCCTTGGGTCAGATTAAGTGTACTTCAAATAGATACACAAATCAAAAGCAGACGATTTAGAATTGCACTCTCTCTCACGCACATCCTTCTGAATTAATTTGATCTTTCAAAAGCCAGACCAATAAGAATGCCGTTCAGAAGGCTGCTAAGCCTTGGCATTTTGCAGTTCTCTGTATTTAACAGATACGAGCTTTGCAAATATGTGGATTTATTAGAATTCTGGAAAGAGATGTTGACTGTACTCATATTGCTGGTTTGATGCAGAGATATTAAAAGTCCAACAGATATAATCTTGTTACGTGTTACGTATAATACGTCACGTGCATATTCTTTAATGTGGATTGGTAACCACCTTCTTTTCTCCCACAAATTATTATTAGGGGAAAGTGGCAAGTTGGTTTTTTTTTAAAAGGGAAATCTTAAAAATAAATCATAATGTCTACTTACACTCAGATAAGAAGTAGGATGCTCAATTTGTGTCAGATTTGGAGGTATTATTGGAAAATCTAGTGTAGATTTGACTATTTCTTCTGAAAAGGATAGAACCCAGGCAACAAACATATCTTCAGAGATATACCCTAAGGAGAAAATGTTCTTCTTACATTAATGCTATTTATCTGCAAGATAATGGGTGCTATCCTGTAACTAAAGTTACTAAATACTCGTCAGTGGCAGCCCCACACAGAGCACATTACTGTAGCCCAGTCTGGAAGTTCCCAAAGCATCATGGATATTCTACTACTAGGGAAGGTTGGTTTTAAAATGTGCTCTGATCCAAAGCTCTTCAGATATTCAGAGCTAGAGAAACGACTTCTAGGAAGAGCAGGACTCCCTATTCACTGAATTGTCAGGGGCAATAGCTGCACATGAGTGCAATGAGGATGGTTACATATTTCTATCTGGAATTGTCATGAATAGGAAAGTCCTTGTGGATGCAGAAAAGCTGTTTGCACACTGGGTTTCTGCGTAGAAAATAGCCTCTGGATCACAGAGTAATTTACAGGTATGTATTTACATACATAAATACTTACTGCAAATTTATGTATGTAAAGAACCAGCAGTGACGGTATACGATGCTTTGGTTTTAAAATAATAAACACGATCTAGCCATAGTTAAGCACTTTTAAGCCCCATTGGTTTCAGTTGGGAGAAAGTGAGTACATTCTTAATTGTCTCATTGGAATTAACAGGAACAGCTTGACTTCAGTTGAGTCATGTAAAAGCAAAATAATCCTGGAAACCATATCTCTTTGCAAACTCCCCCTCATTTCTCTTTGCCACATAACGAAGAATCCACAAGATGGTGCTGTGTCACATCCTTTATGAAAGAAAATACATTGTTTTTGATCTTCTTTCAGTCAATTTAAGTTTCCTGTTAACATGGTATCCTATACATCATGGACCCTGGAATGCGCATTTCTTCAATCAATATTCTCAAAAAGTCAGCAAACTACCTTGATTGTCTTTATCCACTTCCTTGAGGAAAGTAGCAGAAAGTTCATCAACGGCACTGCAACTTTGCATAGGATATAAGTCACGCAGCAAACCCCTGAGTTGTTCCTTGCCAACAATGCCAGAGAATAATGTTTGGTATAGTCCTAAGCAAGGGAGATGAAAAACAAACTGGAGGTTATTTTCTAAATCTGCTCCAAATATTTTTCCCGTTTTTATTATTAGTTAGAATTACTGGCCATTTGGGAGAAGTAAAAAATCCTGCCATCGTTGTCCCCCTCTCCCCAAAATTACTGATACTTCCACCTTTCAAGATTATTCACATGGGGAATTCCAACCAGTCATGGATCATAGAGTGAACAGGATGATTTTGTGCCATGGATTCCATCTAACAAGTTGCTAGGCAGTAGTGGAGGCTAAAATCTTGTGGGTACAGAACTGAAATCTTGGGTCAGATTAAAAAGCCCTTCTAGATCTCTGAACATTTTAGATCAGGGGTCAGCGAACTTTTTCAGCAGGGGGCCGGTCCACTGTCCCTCAGACCTTGGGGTGGGGGGCGGACTATATTTTGGGGTGGGAGGAAATGAATGAATTCCTATGCCCCACAAATAACCCAGAGATGCATTTTAAATAAAAGCACACATTCTACTCATGTAAAAACACCAGGCAGGCCCCACAAATAACTCAGAGATGCATTTTAAATAAAAGGACACATTCTACTCATGTAAAAACATGCTGATTCCCGGACCATGTGCGGGCTGGATTTAGAAGGCGATTGGGCCGGATTCGGCCTCCGGGCCTTAGTTTGCCTACCCATGTTTTAGATGGGGCAGGAAGTCATAGATGGGGCACAATGATGTTAGCCAGCAACCTGGCATCAGCAGTCAGGTTCTGAAGACCTTTCCACATCACACTATGGAATCTGAAGCAACCAAACAGCACCGTCACAGAAACTGCTTCTCTTCTGCAAGTAACCAGTTTAAGCAGGAATTGCCTATTCACCAAGACGCCACTGTAGACACAGCTTTGGGAGCAGGACAAGGAGGTACAGCAGTGGCAGTGGGTGAATAATTTCTTGGAGACTGGATCTACTGCCCATATGGATCCTGCTGCCCGAGGTGGTCACCTCACCTTGCCTCATGGGTGGGCTGGCCCTGGGTCTAGCCCACAGCCACTCTCTGCATCTCCTCTCTCCTCTGTGGTAGTGGCTTCAATCATGGATTGAATGGGACTTTGGTCTGAGGAAGCAAGGAAAACAATCTTCTCTTAAGTATATTTATCCAATACCGCACAGACAGAAGAAAGGAGATTTAGCCAAAAAGGGTTCAAGAAGAATTGACTTTGGCCTCAAGGCAAATACAAGCTTAGCATTCACAATATTGTTCTCTGGTGACAATATCAGAATGCCACTTTTATAAAGCTAAACTCCTGTGTACCAATGACACTTACAATCCGGAGCACCCAATTTTGTTAAGGAAAAAAAGGAAAGCATGCACTTGGGAAATCAATACATCTTTAGATGTGCGTCATTATCATTTTTATGAGTTCGGTGAAATCACAGATGCTGTATCCTCTTCATTTGGGATAATTGCATTGTTTGCATGCATCACAGGAATTAGAGGGGAATGACGGTAATTTATTGATTTGAACAAAAGGGCTTACCACTCATGTGGTAAAAACAAACAAAAAGGTATTGGCTGGTTTAAAAGCCAGATGTGCCCCAAAATCCTGTCAATAACTGATGTTTCTAAGAACCATTGATTTGTTCTTAAGCAAAGCCAATCTGCAAAGGGGTTTTTCTCAAGTTTCCCATGTTGGAGCAAGTTAATTGAGCTAAGGGGCAGGATCTCAAAAGATACAAGAACGGCCAAATTTTGTGTAGCCGCTATTAGGCGCAGGAAACAAGAGCTTTCCAATGTCAATATGCAGGCGAAGGCAAATACTTAATTTTATGTATGCTGTCTAATTTTAAATTGCTGTTATGGCCTAATCTGCATTGAAATTGTCCTTTGTTTTTTCCGGTGTTATGCTTCGCTGACTAGCTGTACGAGTTACCGTATTTTTCGCACCATAGGACGCACTTTTTCCCCTCCAAAAATGAAGGGAAAATGTGTGTGCGTCCTATGGTGCGAATGCAGGCTTTCACTGAAGCCTGGAGAGTGAGAGGGGTCGGTGTGCACCGACCCCTCACGCTCTCCAGGCTTCACACACCTCTCCGCAAGCAGCGGGAGCACTCCCGCTGCTTGCGGAGACTTGCCTGCATGTTGAAGCCTGCGCGTGCTGAGATCAGCGCGTCCAGGCTTCGCGGACCTCTCCGCAAGCAGCGGGAGCGCTCCCGCTGCTTGCGGAGAGCTGCCAGCATGCCGAAGCCTGCGCGCGCTGAGAGCAGCGCGCCCAGGCTTCGCGGACCTCTCCGCAAGCAGCGGGAGTGCTCCCACGGCTTGCAGAGAGCTGCCTGTTTGGGGGCTGGGGTTGGGGGAAGCTCGAGCTTCCCCCGCCCCAGCCCCGCGCCTGGGGAAAAATAATTCCCCCCCTTTATTTCCCCCCCAAAAAACTGGGTGCGCCCTATGGTCCGGTGCGCCCTATGGTGCGAAAAATACGGTAATCTGGTCTGTGACCGTTTAATAAAATTTGATTTGATTTGAACTGTTTATGATTATTCTTGAGCTCAAACCTGGCACTTTTTCTGTGGGCACGACCAGTGCTATTTTACTAGAAAAAGAGGTGCCAGAACTCACAATGAACACCTCCTTCATTCTCTTAGAATGGCAAAGGCACCCAACTGAGAGGTGCCAGAACTGAGTTCTGGCTGAAAAAAAACACCCTAGGCATGGCATTGCTGATGTTGGCAAGGTCACAAGCTGATCTTTAAACCCTAAATGGCCTCGGTCCAGTATACTGTACCTGAAGGAGCATCTCCACCCCCATCATTCAGCCTGGACACTGAGGACCAGCACTGAGGGCCTTCTGGCGGTTCCCTCACTGCGAGAAGTGAGGTTACAGGGAACCAGACAGAGGGCCTTCTCGGTGGTGGCACCCACCCGATGGAACACCCTCCCATCAGATGTCAAGGAAATAAACAACTATCCAACTTTTAGAAGATATCTGAAGGCAGCCCTGTTTAGGGAAGTTTTTAATGTTTGAAGTTTTATTCTGTTTTTAATGTTCTGTTGAAAGCCACCCGGAGTGGCTGGGGAAACAAAGGCCCTAGCATGATAGAAAGGAATTCATTTTTTTAAATTTTATTTTAAAATGGTTTGCAAGTAACTTTAACACACAATGGTGGATCCAAACTAAGGAAACTGTACTTCATTCCCATTGAGATCATTGGGCCAAGTGAGCCATGGTGTAAGTAAGCTCCATTGATTTCAATGGAAACTAAGAGAAATTAAAATGCAGGGTGATCAGCCCTCTGTTTACCCGGGAGTATTCTATGCTTTCTATTAATTGCTTTATTCAGCTGCCCGAATCTTTCAACATTGCTAAAATGTTGCCATACTCCCAAGCTTCTCTTTTCGTTTTCTCTCCCCCACAGCTCAGTTTTCTTCATTGAAAAACAGCCTTCAGCAGAGGATATCTAGATTATTGAAGTGTGAATCTCCTTGCAAGCCTGGCAGTAATCCAAAATTCCTATTAATTTGGAATATAAGAGTCAATTTCATGGTTTAAGTCTCATGATGCAAGCCCACATTTCAACGCTGGTCAGAGATACCAGGCTGTGTCGCAAATACTGCGGACTAATGCTCTACCCTATTCAGAAATGCTGGGCCTTGCCAACGAACCTTATCAGGGATTCTCAAATAGCCACCCTATAGAATCAAGCAATGCCTAACAGTGACTGATGAATCTATTTTTGATGCTATTATTCTATGACCAGAGTTAGTACAGTCGGGCTGATGAATTTTTATTCGGACGTCAGCTGCTAGCTACACATCTGAATAATTCTTCAGCCTGCAGAAAAGATGCATTAGTATCTGTCATGGCCCTTGGGGGGCTCTGTAGCTATCTGTTTTTGTTGCTGTTTCATTGTCACAGATTTGCAAGAATCCAAGCAAGCTTCATCTTATTCCAAGAGAAAAGAAAACAATCACGGAATCCAGCACCCCAAAACTAAAAAGGTAAAGGTAAAGGTACCCCTGCCCGTACGGGCCAGTCTTGCCAGACTCTAGGGTTGTGCGCTCGTCTCACTCAAGAGGCCGGGAGCCAGTGCTGTCCGCAGACACTTCCGGGTCACGTGGCCAGCGTGACAAGCTGCATCTGGCGAGCCAGCGCAGCACACAGAATGCTGTTTACCTTCCCGCTGGTAACGGTCCCTATTTATCTACTTGCACCCGAAGGTGCTTTCGAACTGCTAGGTTGGCAGGCGCTGGGACCGAACGGCGGGAGCGCACCCCGCCGCGGGGATTTGAACCGCCGACCTTTCGATCGGCAAGTCCTAGGCACTGAGGCTTTAACCCACAGCACCACCCGCGTCCCAAAACTACAAAAGTGTTATTATGGAGGTGGATCCTCACTTCCCCTTAACGTTTCCCCAGCAAGCATCTAGTGCGGCTGTTAACAATTTGATAACTAAGAACATCCTAGTCTGATCTATCACCCACGTCTGGATCAATAGCTGCAGCAAACAGCTTCAAACACAGTCATGGGTCCCTAAAGCACGCAAGCCCCACAGCAATGACCCTTGCTAAAAAGAAAGCAGTAGAAATCCTGAATTCTAGTCCCTACCATTCCTTCACTAATATGTTTTCCTGTCAATGATGATGATGTGAGGTCCTTAATATATCATTCATACCTTCAGACTCACTGCTTCAGTACACGAAAGTTTAAAGCCCTACAGACATGTTCTAGAATGAAGTGAACCACTCATAAGTCTCTGACGCTGACCTAGCTAGGAAGATCCAGGTATCTTCTTATTATATAATATATGAGGAGATGTGCACCAAAATTGAGTGAATATATGGTATAGGAGGAACTAGTATAGTGGTACCTCAGGTTAAGAACTTAATTCGTTCTGGAGGTCCGTTCTTGGCTCCGTTTCTGGCCCTGCCCCCTTGCCCAGGCCTCCATTGTTGAATGTTCTGCAGATGGAGGCTGTTTCTTTCCCCAGTGACATGTGACTGGCTGACTAAATTATCTGTCTGGAAATTGTAGAAATGGCTCCCTTTCCTTTCCTACAGAAGCTGCAGAACTGTGAGCTGAACCCCATAAAAACAGGATTTTTTCCGTTTTGCAAAGTAAGCTCAACAGCTTTGAACTGATCCTCAAAAAAACGGGCTTTTCCCCTTTGCAAAAGAAGCTGCAGAACTGTGAGCTGATCCCCCCAAAAACGGGGTTTCCCCCTTTCCTCCTCTAAAAACTAGGTGCGTCTTATGGTCAGTCTTATGGAGTGAAAAATACGGTATTTATATACTGAGTACTGTAAAATCTATATTTATGCTATTTTCCTCTCATATACCTACCATGTCCATAAGTTGTGTTTTGTTTGTTTGTTTTTCCTCTTTTTCTAAGATGTATATCTGTTGAATCTTTTTTTTTTTTAATGACAGAGCCACCCCTTTCTACTCACAACAACTCTGTAAGGTAGGTTAGGTGGAGAAGCAATTGTGGGCCCATGGTCACCCAATGAGCTTTGTAGCTGAGTGGGGATTTGGTCTTCCAGCATCTAGTCCAACACACTAAGTAGTCATTGGACCACACTGGCTCTCAAATGAAGTTTGATGGGTAGGCTTATAAGGAAAGACATGATCCTTCAGATATCCCGGTTCTAAGCCACTTAGGGCTTTACATGTCATAACCTATAGAAATCACATAACTGAAGTTAATCTCAAGAAATTCATGTCCATATTTTTCAATCAAAGCTCCTTTCTCCCATGACTGTAGGTGAAATAATTTTAGAAAATGCTGTGAGATAAGAACTGGATTACAGTCTTTTGTTTCACAGAGAAGGCCAAGCCCCTAGAGCTATATCATTTCTGTAAAGCATTGGGTGTGTGCCTGGGGCTGGGGTTTTGAGAAGAAAGGAGCAGTTATTCCTGTTTGGTTGTTTTTAAACAAAATGATTTAATAGCAATAATAGTCGTTCCAGCAAAGGATTGTCCAGCAGCCAGCTGGAGGTAATAGCCCAAAACAAAGCAAAATTCCAGAATATCAGTTTCCCCCATCTGGCCATTAATCTGCAGGAAATGCACTGTGTGCTGTAATTGCTTTAATTAATCAAATGAACTCTGCACTTCAAAACTGGTATTCCTGGGTTTTTCAATTGAGACAGCTAATCCCATCAGGTATTTCAAAAGCAAAACCTTTCAGCACTTCTTCACTCCTTCCAAGCCTGGGTAATGAATCAATAATTTCATTTTGAATGCAGAGCAGCTGAACGTGGGCAACAGATTTATACCTACAGCAATGTGATGCCTGAGTATAATGTTATTCAACCTGTTTCTTGGATTTCCCAAGAAGGCTAATCTAATAGAATTTATCATTAACCAACTACAGGAGGAGACCCTCCCTGGAGCTTGAAGAGGACCTCTGTAAAGTAGAACATATAGTCACCTTACAGGGCAACAGGGGAGAAGAGAGGAAGATAATTTCATGAACTAAGAATACCATTTTAGGATCCAGCCCCATGCCCAGGAAAGATAGTTGATGTATAAAATCATTCTGATAAAAGTCCTGATCTAAATCTACAACAGAATGGACTAAAACAACCTAATGCAATACACATAAGAAAGTGAGTAAACCCTGAACTACAAGCCAGTAATGAATTAGTATGCAAAAAGCAAGTAAACTAGAAAATCCTGTGGCTTCAATCTCTACTCACTCATCTGGAAGCAAGTCCCATTGAAATAAATGGGGCCCGTGTCTGAAAACATGTAGATGCCATCAAAAAGTAAATGGCATTTTCCATTCCAAGAGACACAAGACACAACTTTTCATGAATACTAAACTACAGAGAAAATTGATAGTGATCCCTGGAGAACAAAATACTGGGTAGAAGAATATCCCCCGACAACACGACAAAACTACCACACACGACTGCTTCTGTATAATCATCCCACACAAGCAAGCAAACCTCCCTGGACTTGACTGGAGTTCGGCTGATTTACAAAGGCAAAGCCCATATCTTATTCAGACTCTTAGTCTGCCAATAGGTTGCAGACTGCAGTACTGAAATAGCCATACATTCATTCTCATTTGCAGCACAGGGCATTTGCTGATTTGATGTCCCAAGCCATAAACTTGTCCACAATGAGGTGGGAATTGGGCTACAACCAATGTGGGTGCAACCACCTATACAAATCTTCATTGTTGAATAGATAGGTCTTTTTCCTTTGCTCTTTCTTCCAAGGCTCTGCCTTGCTGTATATTCGATTCATTCATTTAGTTTTTTTGTCATAATATAGTGCTTGCTTGGTCTATTCTGCATGGTCTCTGATCTGGCTTTTTTTGTTTGGGCCAGAAGATAACCCTGTAGAAGATTCTTTAAGTACTTAGAACATAAGAAGAGCCTACTGGATCAGGCCAATGGCCCATCAAGCCTAGCATCCAGCTCTCACAGTAGCCAGCTAGATGTCTATAGGAAGCCAGTAAGAAGGATCTGGGCACAACAGCAACTGAGACTTCCTGCTTCTTGTAGAGATGGACCATAGCCATCATAGCTAGCTGCCTTTGATGGGTGACAAACACATTTATTTGAGTTGTGATGGTGTCATGGCTAAAGCCACAATTCTGGAAGATGCTTCAAGATGAATCTCTTGAAATATTTAGATTGTTTTCAACCTTCTTTACTGGTGTTCTGATAACAGTAAGGACTTGTGAGATAACACACACCAGACAGAGTTTTATACATTAATAGCACGTTCTGCAATTACATTCCTAATCAATGCAGAGAATACAATAGGTGGCTTTTATTTTATTTTTTAAAAACCAGTTTTGTGAGTGAAATATCAAGTCTGAATCATTTCCTCAGTTATTATTTCCTCAAGAACGTTAACCCTTGATTGGGTATCATATAGATTCAACATAATGACTGTTGGATAAATCTGTCAATTTAAGCTTCTCTCGGTTTCTTATTTTCCCAGTCTTGTTCAGTTCTCCATATTTCCACATTCAATTGCGATTTGTTTTTAAAACTCTTGAAAATTTACCAGCGTTTTAGTGTGAATTTTTCCCTTATGTACACAGGTTTGATGTAGTTCTGCCTAATATACATATTTTTTGCAAAGTGCATAATGTAATGCATTTTGTGTTATTTTCATCTATTTCTGCATTTTTATGCAAGCTTTCCCCTGGTAAATGCATATTTGTGCACATTACTTTGTGTACAAAATTCAGAGATGTGCAAAGTTCAAAGGATGGCTCCATTTTGGTTTATGCACTGTTTCAGAAAGTGTGAATATGGCAGGTTCCCCTTAAAATGCAAATTGAAATGGATTTCTCCTCCCTCCTTAGATATGACATGAATGGATCTCTCAGTAGCCTAACCTTATTATATGTTTAACAGCGGTAAGAAGGAAAGGAAAAAGTCTAAAGGCATATCTGCTTCTTAAGTATATTCCAGCTGTTATCTTACCCAGCTAGGGACAGTATCTTAACATTTGTTGTGACAGCAAATAAGAGCTCAAGATCAGATGCCAGCATACTCTACAAGGATAATACTGTGCTGTGCGAGGCCTCTGTCGAATGTGTCAGCAGATAGTGTCTACTGCAAGATTTAACACTGAAACTAACGGAATGTTGTGCTTAAGAGCAATTGAATAAACAGAGAGGACTAATATAAATCCTGGAATTATGTCTTACCTTTTACTTTGGTCTCCAAGGTGCTTTTAGATAGCCAGGACAAAGCATTACAGTAAGTCTGGAACGTTAACTGGTCACCATCCGTGACCGGAATTTGCTTTAACAACTGAAACAAAGAGACAGACTTATTCAAAACCAAGGAGATAAATGATTTCTCTATCTTAAATATTTTTCTCCCTAAATTTCCATGCAGGGCCAGCCATAACAGTAGGCACAGTGAGGCAATCGCTTCAAATGACAGGCGTTATGGAGCAGCAGCAGCAGCCATCCAGCTACTCCTCCTGAGCCTCCTATTTGTTCTCCTCTGTCAGAAGACACAGCTATGTGTGCCGCACAGACTGTCTACCTTCCTGAACCCCCAAATATTAGCAGAAGTGGAGATTAGTACTGAGCGATCCATTGTGTATTGATGACATTGTTTTCCATGCAGAGCAAGACACTCATCGCAATGCAAATATCTGCATTCTCCGTTGGCTACATGCTCAGGATTGATGAACCCAGTTTTTGCTATAGTACACATATAACTAACAATTAAGCTCCTTATTTTGGAGATTTATAGCACCATCACTATGTAAGCTTGAGAATGAAAACAATATCTGCCAATTTCTTCTATGTGAAGTGATTGGCAGCAGCTTTGACTGTTGCACCAATTATGCCTTGCACATATCTATTTTAAGAGTACAGCACGTGCATTCCCCTTGCCACAGGAGGGAGCACTAGAATCAAATTTTAAGCAAGCAGCATTTCCTGCCTCTTTGCTTCCTTTTATTAAATAGGTTAACCAAATATATTAAAAAGCACTAGGTTGTCAACTGCAACTGACTTCAAAACATAATTATTTATATTACTTGCCAATTAACAGCTCTTTGTTCTCTTAAAGACTCATCATGTTGCAGAATATAAAAATATGGTTACTTATACGCCTTAATTTTTCATCCCACCTTTCTTCCAAGGATTCCAAAAATTGTAGAATTGGAAGGGTCATTGAGGGTCATCTAGTCCAACCCCGTGCAATGCAGGAATCTTGCATTATTTTCTTGCGCCCCCCCTTATTTAATCTTCACAACAACCCTCCAAGGTTGGTTAAGCTGAGTGGATAAAAACCAAAACAAAAGTGTTGTTTCTACAGCAGCAGGCACATAGGAACAGGGGAGAGAGAATCACTGCTTTCTCATATAAAATATTGATTCTATAGATTGGTTGCTATGCACATTTCTAACACTGTCTTCCTTGGGGGGGTCACTGCTGAAAAATACTTATAGTATATCATCTGGATGATGTGCTGTAACTATTCTTCAGAAATTGCCCCTGAGAGAGAACTCGAGTTTAAAGTCTCCAATATATAGAATAAATATTCCTTATCATTAATCAGCGGTTTTCCTGTTTCTTTTGTTCCACTTTCAACCGCCAACCACAAATCTTCCCCTTCTTAATCTGTGGAATGAAGGCAAAAACTTTTATGCCTTTGGCCACATGTGTTTTGTCCTGGCTGCCAATATATAGTAGGCTTACAGTTCCAAGTTTTTAACGATGCGTAACGATTACTGGAGGTTCTTCTCATACTTGCAAGACCTTTTGCATCGCACACATTCCTGCAACTGGGTTCTGTGAACAGCTAGTTCTGTGAGTAGCGAGCAAATTTCTAAGGAATGTTCAGGGATAAAGGCTGACTTACTGTACCTTCAGAGGGCCAAGAATCTCCATGGAAACCCCACTACACAAGGACCAGACTGGCAAAGGAAGAGAAACCATGGCTGGAAGAAACTCCAGAAGGCAGTGAGGTTGATGAGTCTTGATGGCTGTGATGAGCAACCAGCAAGACTTTCTCACATTTTTATTATTCTTTTAAGGAGGGGGAATACGGTCCTTGACCACCTTGTCTGTGAAGTAAGCTAATCCCCCACCTCAGTCCCTGAAATTCTTAGAAAATTCTCCTGCTCAGTCACAGTTTGGAGATGGGTTTTCTTTCCATTTCACTATTACAGTGGTACCTCGGGTTACATACACTTCAGGTTGCATACACTTCAGGTTACAGACTCCGCTAACCCAGAAATAGTGCTTCAGGTTAAGAACTTTGCTTCAGGATGAGAACAGAAATCGTTCTACGGCGGCGTGGCAGCAGCAGGAGGCCCCATTAGCTAAAGTGGTGCTTCAGGTTAAGAACAGTTTCAGGTTAAGAACAGACCTCCGGAACGAATTAAGTACTTAACCCGAGGTACCACTGTAGTTTGACCAAAAATATCAGGCTGGCTGTAATAAAAAAATGTACCATTTTCATACTTTCATTGCAATTAGGTTCTCCCAAAAGACATTCTATCTGTAGCAGAAATACCACTTGTGAAGTGCAAGCATATCGTTTATTGACTCATAAATAAACCTTCTTCTCTATAGAGATATGGGACGCGGGAGGCGCTGTGGGTAAAAGCCTCAGCGCCTAGGGCTTGCCGATCGAAAGATCGGCGGTTCGAATCCCCGCGGTGGGGTGCGCTCCCGTTGTTCGGTCCCAGCGCCTGCCAACCTAGCAGTTCGAAAGCACCTCCGGGTGCAAGTAGATAAATAGGGACCGCTTACTAGCGGGAAGGTAAACAGCGTTTCCGTGTGTGGCTCTGGCTCGCCAGATGCAGCTTGTCACGCTGGCCACGTGACCCAGAAGTGTCTCCGGACAGCGCTGGCCCCCGGCCTCTAGAGTGAGATGAGCGCACAACCCTAGAGTCTGTCAAGACTGGCCCCTACGGGCAGGGGTACCTTTACCTTTATATAGAGATATATGTTTATTTTCATAGAACATTGTCTATTTTACAGTGGGGTTTTTAAATAAAAATAATAATATTGTAACCCACCCTGGAACCTTATGGTGAAGGGTAGGTAAGAAATCTAATAAATATCATATTTTTCTTGGCTTCCTCTGCAAATGTTCCCCTTGGGGGGCATCCAGCGTCAAGCAAGGTTTTCCCCATCCTTAGACAAATCCCTGTTTAAAATCCCCCCAAAAACCTTCTTTAAAAAGCAGGAAGTGGAAGTGTTATCAAGTCATTTAGTCCAATAGATGCAAGCATTCAAGCTGTATGATCTCTTCATTCAAAACCTAAAAGAAAACAATACTTTTTTATATTAAAAAAACCCTAAACTCCACCCTGTTGGAGGCGAGTGGAGGAGGTATGAGTACCACATGCCTGCCTGAATAACAGTTTAATAGAGTCTAAAAGTCTCTAGGAGGCGGACAACAATTCTCCATTTTTTTCCAAGGACATGACCAGAGAACAAAAAGCAGAAATAGGACTGTGACCACAGAATTCCAAGTAGAAGCTTGAATCTGAATTCCCCTGGAATGAAGAATCCAGCCCTGGAACAACGAAAGCCTTTGGGAAAAGGTGACCACCCACCTCCTATGGCAGGAGCTAATCTTGCAAGTCCATAGAGATGGCGAGAAGGGAAGCTTGTGCAAAGCGAACAAGGGAAGCTTATTCAAAGATAAGGATTCCATTCTCCGTATTACATGCATTTGGTTTGAATGAAATATGGTAAAATGTTGAGCCATTAGTTAAGTCAGGAAGGCTTACATCTTCCTAAGGTTGTCTAGGTGACAACAGAACACAAATGAGAAGAAGGATGCACACAATTTCCTGACTCCCAAACTGGCTGTTAAGCTCTATAGTAGCCATGACAAACAGGTCATATAGCCTCTCTAATCTAATACTATTTGAAGGAGGTAAAGAGGTAAGTCTCGCCTCATGTCCTTGTAGTTCATGTGTGGCTTGGCTTATTCTCCGTTGCAATCCAAGCAACTGTTCACTATCGCAAAGTGAAATTCACAATTTCTGCATGGCAGAAATAAGAATGGTCCTTTCCCTAGTAAACAAACTCTCTGTGTACCGATTTTTGGACTTTGTTCTTTCACAGCAGACGGAATCCTGTTGAAACCCCTTGAGGCTGGAACATCTTATAAATATACAATTGATCCAACAGCTTTGAAACGCTGTTGCTCTTCTGCATGACCTTGATTTGCGGCAGGTTTATGGAATTATGAACCTGTGGAAAAGTTCAACTATGTTATTTCCGATATCTTTGTTTTCAGTTGCAGGGTGGATCTGTAGGCTGATTGGCTCTGGAGCTTTTCTGTATCTCTAGAAAGAAACAACTTCTTGGCTTCACAGACAGCAAAGCAATTATAAATTCCTCAGACTCTAATTAAAAACCAGATAGGTTTCCAAAACACTATTAAAGACACACTAGGGGAATAAGGATTTCAATTTATTGTCATGAATATCAAGCTCGTTTCCTTATTAGCTGCAAAGCAGTGAAGAGTAAATGTTCCATAGGCAAAGCATTCTGTTTAACAATGGTAAAAAAAATGTACCTCGACAAGAAAATGGTGTTTTGCAATTTGTGCCTTCTTTCCACTGAAATATATCTACAGTAAATGAATCTGCACTAATGAGAAATATTTCCCATTAGGAGACACTATAATCTGCAAGCAAGTGGCAGGCATGTCGCATCTTGTCTAGGTTTATCTTTTTCGCTGTATGTTTTCAAAATCTATGCATATTAATTTTGATTTATGAGCCGAGTTCTTACACTGGATACCTCCTTAAAATTGTTCATTCCATTTGACTGGTAACTATCTAGTTCATTAATGCCCCTCTCCTCCCAAGATAAATCCTGTAGGTCAGACCCGTCCAGCTCCCAAGAGAATGTGATCTACTCCCAGTATAAAAAAAAACTGGCAGTGTGATCTACCTATTGTCATTGAGAATTGACCAGAGTTGTTGAGCTTTTCTTGGGGAGAGAAGAGTTATTAAACTTTTTTGGGGAAAATAAGAGTTCTTAAGCTTTTCTGGGGGGAGAACAGAGTTGTTGACCTTTTTTCGGGAGGACAATATATTTTTAAGGGGGAATAACATACACAGCTCACCTCATTCGCAAAACACCAACAAGCAACATTGACTGGTTGAACATCGCTGCTGTAGGTTATGCATGTGCAACTGTCAAATCTTTCCCCCTGAGGAGACACAGATGCCCACCATGTCAACTTATGGAAGTGGGTGGGGAACAGAAGGAACAGCAGCTATGGCAATGGGGAATGCTCTTCAGTTTGCTTGGATCCTA